AAGTCTCAATTTTCTAAATGAATTTGTTAACTTTAACATAAATTTAATTTTAAAATATAAAGCATAACATGGGATAGTTTTGAGTACCTTTGAGTTTCAAACAATTAATTATTACATTTCATCTTTTAGTTTTTATTCAAAAATTAATTTCTAAGTTGATTCAATCATCTTTGAAGTTCTAAAGACCAAATTTTTGATATAAATTTCTCAAAAATCTTATAAAAATATTAGCCAATATTTTAATAAATAAATGAAACTATTTTTTAATCAAAAGTTTTCTCAAATGATAATATACTTTATATATAATTAGCCTTAAGGGCTTGCACTTATGACGAACTTGTATCCTTGAATAAAATAAATCTTATTCAATCGAATATATAGGTAGAGGAAAACCTCTGGGCATATAAAAAAATATAAGTTTTTTATCAAGTCTATAGAAAATGATAGTTTTACTCTTCAGGATAATATATTTTTTATATACAATGCTCATTTTAAAAAATAATCTAAATCCATTGAGGATTGAAAAAATGCCCATGCAATTGTGGGCTCCGAAAATTCGGCCCCAGCCTCCGCCCACTTGTGCTTTTCTTTGGGGGAGTTTTAACGGAATTAAGTTCCGGGGTAAATTTTGGGAAGGCAGATAGGTTTGTAAATAAGACACTACCTAGAGATTTCACCGTCATTTTGTGAGGATTTTATGATATGAGTTCTGGTTTCCTATAGGCGCAATCCCTTATAGTTAATTACCCCTCCCGATAATGAGAGAGAACTTTGGATTAAGGCGAAATACATAGTATCTGGCATATAGTAGCAATAATGGGAAATGTATATTTGGGAATTGGTTGAAAGTTTGAATATTTGATATTTACAATTAGAAATTTCACCATCTTGCACTTAAAGTGGATGGTGAGGAATGGATGATGGACCCGATCAAGATCCCATGGTTCCGTCCTTTCGGGCCATCGTAGTCCCTGATCTACTTAGTCAGAGGAGGTACGTAGTCGACCCAACCTAATAGAAGGATCCTTGTCGGCAACCAGGGGTTGCTTCGTCCAAGGGGACCTTGTAGACCTGGGGCGAATGTTTGTTTAAGGGGACAAATTTGAATCCACCTTAGCTAACAGAGGGCTTTGTGCCATATTGATCATATCCTATTGATTCATATCTCAAAGATTTGATGCCATTAAGGAGTGTATTGGCTCTGGCCATAATCGGTATCTGTGGTGCCATTTGTCGGTAAAACCACTCGTTTTGAAGGGTCCCGAGTCATGGCTGTTTATCCTGTGGCACCATTTGGCGGCAAAACTGGCGGTCAGAGAACACATATCTCGTCCTTATTGACAAGAGATTGTTTGAGAATTGATCATAATGATATTTTCGACTAGACATTTGCTTTATGTGAGCTGAAGTGAATTTCAAATTGTCCACCCCCGGCAAACTGTTGCGGAGGGTGGATTGATTTTACTTTAAGTGGTTTGATGGATTATTTCTAATTTTAAACATCTTGGAGTTTTGGATGATTTGTGGAGTTTTGGATTTTCGTGGATATTTGGGTAGAGCTTGGAAGGCATTTGAAAGTGTATGTGAACCCCTCTAGTTGAAATAAACATTCAACACGGCCATCATCGGGGTGTTAATGAGCATTTGGGAATTTCATTGATTGGACCCTATTGACTATGTCTACTGCTCGACAAAGGATCGGGTCTCTAGACTTTGTGGTTTTGTTTGTGAATTTTCTTTATTGAAGGCCTTAAAGGTCTAATATGCATGTATTAGAACAAATATACTGGTCTCCTTAGTCGTATATTTATTTGATGGTTCGAACCCTGTCGACTTTTATCTACTTAGGAGGATTTGGCTTCGTAGGCTTTATGCATTTGTTGGTGAGTTTTCTTTATTGAAGGTCTAATATGAATGTATAAAATAAATATCCCGACTGTCCTCGCGGTCACATATTTATTTAATGGTCGAACCATGTCGACTCCTATATACCCGTATAGGAGGACCAGGTTCAGACTTAGACTCACCATTTGACCCGCGCAACATCCTTAGGTGTCACGTGTGTATCAATAACACGCTCGCCGGGACTCATGCAGGTTTTATGATTATATATGCCCCTTTAGTGTACCTATGTGCATACAAACTATAGTGCATGTGTGGAGGAATTTTGAAATATTTAAAAAGGTCTTCTACGTCAGCTTGTAGAAATTTGCATTTGATGTAATCACTTCGTATTTTGCTTGCAAACAACATATTATATGTAGAACAGATCTCCTACAATAGCTAGTAGGAGCTTGCATTTGCCGCATTCTTCGATCTTTTTAGTACATCCCCTACTGCTTCCCGTAAGCAGGTAGATATGTTCATTCACAGATTGAAATTGACTACATGATACTGCATTCATTGAAGTCTTTCTGCATCTACTCATAGGTGGAATGTGGTGCTCACGTATGTATTCGTAGAGGACTTATATGTACTGCAGATCTTCTTAACTAAATGCTCCAAGTCGTTTCGATTCGGTCATTCTTCTTCTGTGTGTATTTGAAACCCTTTTATTGTGTATTTTCTTGGAATCAAATTGTTGGTAATGATAGAGACACTACTGCATTTCTTTATACTCACTTGTAAGATTGATGTAAATGTCACATATCATGTCTCGTGTATGCTCTGTATGTGTTTATGTATGAATTCACAACTAGGTCACAAGACCTTCATTTGTAAACAATGCATCGCAGTTGTGTGAAGGAGTCATATTCATTGGGAGTTTCTTTCATTGGTGCTATCCCTCTTTTTCGCATGAACTTGAGGACCCTACTGATATGGATACCACGGACCTTATGTTGCTTACGTGTAGGTTAAGGTTCTTTGTTGTAGCATTGAATTATTGCAACTCCTTTGTCCTCAAAGGTAGTTTAGTTCTACTTGCAAACTTTTTTTTATCCTCCAAGATAGTTTACAAGATACATGGTGAGTTTGCTATCGATCCCTTCATTCCAATTGAGATGATCGTTGTAGGCTAATTATGATTGCTCAAATAAGCTTTATACCAAAAACTTGTAGTGACTTTATGTGCGAGCCTTTGCTTGAAAGCAAGTTGTATCACAAGTTCATTTGTTCATCGATGTTTGTTTGAGTGCACTGAAGGTTTGTTCATCATGAGTCATTTTACTTGATTGTTGATATCTATTTTAGTACTCTATCCAAGTTCATTCAGCATTTGCTATTTGATTGTATTTTCATTTGATTCTTGCTTGCACGTTGATCATGCTTGGATGCTCTCCTTCACGAGTCCCTTGCTATATGTTGAGATTTGTTTCAAAGTTCTCCACATAAAATTGAGCTTAAATGATCCTTTCTTAACCTTTATTAAGAGCTTAGTGTTATGATTCAAATTCAAGTTTCATGTTGTCCAACTCAAGTATTTGCTTGAGTTCAAATTGTTCAAGATTATGCTCAAGTTCATGGTTCATTCAAGTGCAAATCAGGTCCCCTGTAGTCCTTATTGTTCATTCAAGTTCAATATGAGTTCCAACTATCTTGCTTTAAGTCTTTTGCCATGTTCAAGTTCAAGTCAAAACTCCTTGTATCAAGCTCATTTGAGTTCAAGCTATCTTGCTCTTTGTTTGAGTTCAAATCAAATTCAAGTTCGTATTCAATTTCAATTAGCTTTGAGTTTATTTAAGTTTGATTTAAGCTCAATTTTATGTTCAGTTCATTGTCCAAATCAAGTTCAAGTCTTGTGCATCTTCAGGAGAGATTTTGGCAGCCTCCCGGCATCTCCCCCGTTTAGGGGAAAAACCAAGAGGCAACCTTCCCCTCGTCGTTACTTGAGCGCTTCAGGTAGGTGTCAAATGACACCGCAATTGCATTTTTTTTAATTCACCGCCCGCTACATGAGCGTTTAAGGGTCTCTAGCACATGCTAGAAAGAAGCACATGGATTTCCCCACATGTGAGTACTTAATTTTGTCCCCCTCACGCTATATGAGCGGTCCCGGGATTACCCATAT